GGGAAAAGAAGAAAAGGAGGATAAAACAAAAAAAACAAACAGCCAAAAAGAAAGTGACTACAGTGCAAGAATTCGTGACTTAGCAACCAGTTCTACTTTGTGATGACACACTGCTTACAGTGTCAGGCACAGTCAAAAAAATGTGTGTGTGAAATGTTATGGAGAATGTTCTTGTATAAAAGAACAAAATGCCAATGTGTGGTCTAATGGCAGCATGCCCAGCTTGCCAAATGACACAACATGCTTGCTTCAAACAAAGCACTCCACTGTACTGTAGGCCTCTTTCAACCTCTTTCTTTACATTCTCTGTGAACTGTCAGTCTCATAGTTAGTTCTTCAGATTTTGCAGGCACTTACATTAGTTGATATTTAGTGTATCCTTAGCATGAGTATTTCTCTAAGCTCACCCATGTAAACCACAATCTATCAGCAAGATTGGTTAAACTTTTCATCTCATCTGACAAATAAACCATAAATTAATGGATGCAGAAGAACAAGCAGCCCCTTCAAAGAAATGCTGGCCAGTGGTGGAGGAGCTGCCTTGGCACGCACCTAGACATAGACAGAGAAGGACCTCAGACATATAAGGAGAGGAGCAGGCTTTGAGGCTGCCTGTGCTGTGCTTACTTGTGTCATCTTCTTCTATACTGCAACAGGTCTGAGGGGAAAAATCTGAGCTGCCCTTTTCTTATCAGGCTAAACACCAGGAGGAGCATGCAGAACATGCACCGATTATATCAGCACATGAAACATGCACATTAGAAAGATATTTAATCATACAATCTTCTTTTCCTGTCTTCACTTGATAAAATTATCAACACAATGACAGACTGGGCTGTTATAAAAAGACACTCAAGCTCAATTCTTCTGACCTCCCACGCTGGTCCCTCATGCACAGATGCTGCAGCTCTGAATAGGTGAGGATCAGACAGAATGTGTCTCATCCAGCCAAGAACACCAGTACTATTGTATGTTGGGCTGCAACCGCTGTTTGTTTGATCCACCATCAGACCCCAGACTTCAGTTCCTCAGAAGCTATAAGAAACCAATCACTGCAGTCTTAAATCCCTTTCAGAGAATCCTTTTGCCAATTCACACGTTTTCATTATGTCAACAACAAACTTGCTTGTGTCTGTCTCCTCTGATAATGGTTCACCAAGGTAAAGGGTATACAAGCATGAATTGATCAAGACCTACTTGTGTTGTTTTAATTGTAGCAACACTTGACATCATGCAGACATTTAATCTAGCTGTCATGGCAACTGAGGGCCTACAACAAGCTTAATTTCACAAGTCAATAAAACCAGCGTTCTCGCCTGAAGGGGGGGATCTGAGAAATCTGACATGAATGTAGGAGTTGTTAGTGAACTACATTCTTAAAGTGAAGCACTGACACTGGGAGACAAACATGCTGTGGCACTGCCTACGGTCTCAATTTCCTCAAAGCGTCTACATATCTTTTGCTTGTATTCTTTTGAATGAGCTCCCAGCTTAAATCATGTGAAAGTTCACAAGCAGAAGATTGTGAAGATGCGGGCATGCATGATGAAGTCAATACATTTCACTTCAGGCTGTTGATGATCCCTGTAGTGAAATGAAAGCACAACTATTCCTGGAAACTTACTGAGAAACAAAGACAGGCCTGTAGCACAATCAGTATTACAATCATCACATTTTGCTTGGTGGCTCAAGATATTTTATTGGCATTACTGAGCTTAAACCCAAAAGAACGTACTACTAAAAAGCCCATTCTCACCAAAGGACATGGAATGAGACATTACAAAGTTAATGCAATCTCTAAATAGTTTAAAGTCGAAATAAACTGCAGGAAGTGTATTAAAAGAGGCATGAGGATCTGCAAAAGGTGCAACAAACTCATCTATTGAGAGCTGTCAAAATGTGACAGACTGAAATGAAAAGTATCTGATGCCTGAAGTAACAGAGGGAGTGAAAGGTGAAAGGTTGTGACTTGTGAATCTTACCAATCTGTTTTCATCAAACACCTCGAAGAGTAGCCTGTGATTCTGGGGACACACCTGTGTTGGCAAGAAAATAAAAGGGGAGATGTTACTGCAGTCATCCAGTGGTTATGTGGCACACAGCACCAACACAGATTAAGTGTATGCAAACACTTTTCTATGAGTTTTTCCACCGCTCTAAGTTGCAACTACTGTGGCTAGAAGGTGGCCAGTTTTCTCATTGTTATAACAAAAGTAATCAACTATAATTCAGTGAGAAATAATCATATGCATGTGGTTAAACCTGTGAAATCTAATATGGTCTAGTTACAGTGGTATAGGAGACATGAGTCAGCTCTCAGTTAAACCGTAACCACAGGTCAACAACTCTAACACTACCACTCTACAATAAACAAGTCCAGTACCGGGGGTTATAGTGAAGAGAACTAGGAACAAAGAGGATTTATTCAAGCAGGCAAAGCGTTTTAAAATCTCAACTCACTCTGAAGTAGAATTCCTCATTCCATTTGGGATTGAGGGTCTGAAACAAAGTAGAGAGTTGGTTAGAATGCAAATTAATAAATTGTATATTAAAGCGAAGTGTGCACCATCATTAGTTTACACAGAAAACAGAACAGATGTATGAAACCTATCCAACTCAGAGTGAGAGAAGAAACCCAAATTGAGAAGTCAGGCTTACTCCTGTGTGTCAGTAATCCTATTACGTTGTCAGAGGAAGTTTGCAGCGAACATGTCCCAGTGATGGGCATTAGTCCCAAGATTTAACAGTCATGAAGATTTTCACCGTTTCTGGGTAGATCAGCTCAGTAAGTACAGTACATGCACAGACACTCTCCTTCTGCCTCACACATTTGATACTCTATTGGACTGAGAAGAACGTGACATTTCTCATTGAAATTCCTTCGACGATTAAAATGTCTCGAGTCTGGAGTCTGAGATGCCACATTATAAATGAACCCGCTCCCTTTTGAGAAAAATCCAATAGCAATGTGTCAACCTTTTCTTGATCAAATTATAACAATATACAAAATATCACACCAAATAACTTTTGATCTCAGGGTAACATCTAGTTATTGATAGTCTCAGACTGGCTCTTCATACGTTTGTCATGTTTGCCATCATTTTATTAAACCATCTTTCCACAAGCCAAACTCTTAGTTTCAGCAACAAAGATGCCATCAAATGTTTCTCACTTAAAACACGTAGAGCCCACAGAAGTGCCGAGCTGTGATGCTCCACATAGCAGTGGATTGTCGGCTATTTATATCATATAAGGCGAGCGTGGCCACCGGCAGCATATGTCTGCCTGCATGGAAGCCAGAGCTGCTTGACTCAAGAAGATGGTTGGCTGGTACCTAACTACCAGGAAAGGAAAGGTTTACAAAGAAACAAGAAGCTGGTTGCCAACTTACGTAGAAAAGGGTTTCATTGAAGTTTCAGCCCCTGCCTACTATATATGCACAACTCCTAGCCTTGGGCAGTGGATAACATGTAATGCACAACCCTCTATTTTAAACCATATAGTCCTTAGCATTCCAAAATGCTGGAAATTAATATGGACATTTTGTGCAAAACCAGCCCACTTTGAAATTAAGATACTGTATGATCTGAATGGAGTTTTCACTAATAGCACGTAATAGCTCCCCCTGCTGTGAATGCATTTACTCCCCAGAATGGCCAGTGAAGGAAAACACCTTGCCACATGGCCCCTGACAGACTCTAGAGGGAAGGGGTGGGCACAACCTTCTGGTTCGTTCCTGTGGTTTCCTTCTTTCAAGATGACATGACTATCTTAATTTGAAAGAAAGGTGATGGCGGTGGTACTGTAGGAGTGGGATTAGAAGGATCTGGTGATGTCAAAACAGTGACTTTAAAGTGGAAGTGAGCAAAGCCACATTTAAGCAGCTGTACTGTAAATGTGTGGTGCAGCTGTGGAGGCAGATTAACACAACAAGAGAAGCCAAACTCTAACAGTTCAAACACATTCAAGTTTAATTAGATCTGAAACCATGAACAAAGGTCTATGCAGAGTCCAGGAAAAAGCAGCAGCATGCAGCACTTTTTACCTCAGGACTTACCTTTTTAATGGTTTTTGTCTGGACTAAGGCAAGTTCTTTGTTTTCATCCGCAACATAGAGGGAAAGTTTGACATAAGGGTCACTGCAGGAACAAAACAGAGGAATCAAACAAACAAACAAACCAGTGGTGAAAAAGCAATCTGCTGTCACTTTATAGCAGCACATCCACAGGTATAAATCTGCTCCAGACAATCTTATGAGTATCGTTACATTTCCTTTGGTGCATAATTTATAAAAGCAGTATGTGTCTAGTTAGTGAGAATAAACATCTTTCTGAAAAAATGTTCTTCATTTAAGAAAATACTGAATAAAAAGATCAAGTATTGTCTGACTAAAACTAGACCCAGAAACAGACTAAGTTTTAAGCAGGAAATTAAGAGTGGAAAAGGGAAGTGAAGAGCCCATCCTATACAACAAGAAACATACATCTTATTTATCTAACCAGTGTCCAAAAATCATATTCACTGTGTCAACGGCTTCCAGAGCATATATCACAAGGCTGCTCTCTAACACACTGCTTGTTTCTAGACATGAAACCTGAGTCTGCCATAAAACAGCCCAGCAGATATAAACTGCTTGCATTTGGGTATTGTGAGATAAGGCTAAAATGTCTTATTGACAAAGCAGAGTGCTAAAAATAAACCCCGCACTACGGTTTGAGGTGAGCAGTGCAAATAGTAAGCAGAGTGTTTGTGACTGTGCTATTTTAAAATAGGCAGTTGGTTTATTTGAAGGTGCTGACAGGGTAGAAATCTCCAGCGAGCTCTGGACAAAGAGGCAGAGCTGCACTATTCACCAGGCAGGGCATTTACTGTACTGATCTCAGTCCCAACAGGCAACACGAGGTCTCATTTTGGGAAAAAAATAATAAGAAAAGCAAAAACATATCAACTCCGTGTGTGGTGGCAGTAACTTGGCACATTCTCACATAAAATATCACTTCTGCAAATGAGGTCTGTTACCTGTTCTGATCACAACTTTTATAGTTGAAGTCAGAAGTTCGACATACTTTATGCATGGCACAAGTAGGTTTTCCAACAGTTGTTTACTGATAGATATCTCGCTTGTTGATATTTCATTTATAATGCACTACAGTCATGTGAAAAAATTAGGACACCCTTTGAAAGCATGTGTATTTTGTAACATGTTTTAATATATGGTTATTTAATCTCAATTTTAACAATACAGAGAGATTAAAGTAATACAACTAAACAAGTAAAACTGAAGAAAAGTCTTTTCAAGATCTTCTGTAAATGTAATTCTACAAAAATGCCTATTCCAACTGAGGAAAAAGTTAGCACACCCTAGCCCCTAATAGCTAGTGTTACCTCCTTTGGCTGAAATAACTGCAGTGAGACGGTTCTTGTAGCCATCTAATAGTCTCTGACATCGGTCTGAGGGAATTTTATCCCACTCCTCAATGCAGAATTGTTTCAGCTGTGAGATGTTTGAGGGGTTTCTTGCATGTACAGCCCTTTTCAAGTCACCCCACAGCATCTCAATGGGATTCAGGTCTGGACTTTGACTCTGCCATTCCAGGACTCTCCATTTCTTCTTTTTCAGCCAGTCTTTGGTTGATTTACTAGTATGTTTTGGGTCATTGTCATGTTGCATGGTCCAGTTCCGCTTCAGCTTTAATTTTCTAACCGATGGTCTCACATGTTCTTCAAGCACCTTCTGATACACAGTAGAATTCATGGTGGATTCTATGATGGTGAGCTGACCAGGTCCTGCTGCAGCAAAGCAGCCCCAAACCATGACACTTCCACCTCCATGCTTCACAGTTGGTATGAGGTTCTTTTCCTGGAATGCTGTGTTTGGTTTATGCCAAACATGTCCTCTGCTCTGGTGTCCAAATAATTCAATTTTGGACTCATCTGTCCAACGAACATTATTCCAGAAGTCCTGGTCTTTGTCAACATTCTCTCTGGCAAATGTCAGTCTGGCCTTGATGTTTCTCTTAGAGAGCAAAGGTTTCCTCCTTGCACGCCTCCCATGCAAGTTAAACTTGTGCAGTCTCTTTCTGATTGTAGAGGCATGCACTTCTACATCAACAGTAGCCAGAGCCTGCTGTAGGTCTCGAGATGACATTTTAGGGTTTTTGGAGACCTCTTTTAGCATCTTGCGGTCTGCTCTTGGTGTGAACTTGCTGGGGCGACCAGACCTGGGCATGTTGGCAGTTGTTTTGAAAGCCCTCCACTTGTAGACTATCTTCCGGACAGTGGAATGGCTGATTTCAAAATCTTTTGAGATCTTTTTAAATCCTTTACCAGACTCATAGGCTGCTACAATGTTTTTTCTGAAGGCCTCTGACAGCTCTTTTGCTCTCACCATGGTGCTCACTCTCACTTCAACAGTCAGGAGCACACCAAACTAAATGTTTGAGGTTTAGATGGGGCAAGCCTCATTCAAAATGCTGAGTAACGATCTACTAATTATGTGCACCTGGTGTGATATACCTGTGTGTGATTTGAGCCATTTTAAGAGGGCATACATGTGAGGGTGTGCTAACTTTTTCCTCAGTTGGAATAGGCATTTTTGTAGAATTACATTTACAGAAGATCTTGAAAAGACTTTTCTTCAGTTTTACTTGTTTAGTTGTATTACTTTAATCTCTCTGTATTGTTAAAATTGAGATTAAATAACCATATATTAAAACATGTTACAAAATACACATGCTTTCAAAGGGTGTCCTAATTTTTTCACATGACTGTATATCACAAATCCAGTGGATCAGACGTTTACCTTCAAACTTTTTAATTTTACAATAATGTTTTGCTTCATAAATGACTTAATTGACATATTATAGCTGTCAATCAAATCTATCAATCATCTTCTTCAGGTCTGATTTTCCACATAAAGCTTAATTTCTCTGTCCTTTATTGCTCATCTACTTTGTGCCATGAAATATTTCTATCAATGTACAATATAAACACATAACGGAACAGATGGTGAGTGTCTCCAGTGTGGATGAAAAACAGCTATATGAAGAACAGAGGAGACACATCATCAGATTCTTCACACCAACACATCTAGTTGTGATACCAGGCTTTAAATTTTTCAAGATGACACAGAAGAAGTGAAAATAGTTTATTTTCCCATACTTGGGATGAGCGCGTGTTGCATAAATGACATCCTGACTGCAGTTTCGAGACTTCACACAAGGTTAGAAATTCAATCTGAGTCTCATTTCAAACCATCTATGAACGTGCTTTAGATTTGATTTGCCATAACCAGTGTCCACAGGGTTTTCTGCTGTCCAGACTCGATATAAGCAGAAATCTAATTCCAGTATGGATCTATCCAAAATTAGATTCAACCTGCTGCTTGGAGCACAGCCTCACATTCATATGAATGAAACAGCTGAGTGGGAACAATGAAAAGGGGCACACAGAATGAGAAATATTTTTAAAAGATAAGATACAAGAAAACCTGCTGCTGCTTGATTGCTAATTAACATCTCCCAGAAGCCCACAATCTCTAATTGCGTGTTTTGTGGTTCTGTGATGTGCTATGACTAAACAAAAACAAAGGGCCTACTGTAGCTCAGCTACACTGAGACTTCTTCACATCTCCTTCCCTCCAACAAAAAACCTGCTGAGGGAGACAGCCAGGATACTTCAGGTCAAGCTAGCATGGAATATCTGATGCATATGGAAGTTCGTTCCACTTGTTGTTTTGAGCTCCTTGAGTTTCCATCAACACTTCATCAAATAAATAAAACAAATGGGGGCATTTCAAATCAAGATGCAAACACATGCACTGTGGCATGTGAGTAGCACTAACACAGTGCACAACACGCCAGCTCTTTCTCTGCCAGCATCTGCTTTCTTTTAACTCAGGTACAATGCATTACCGTGAACAATAATAGGAACAATGATCCAATTTAGATGTGGTCATGTGGTAAATTCAGCCAGATAAGAACTTCATTTAAAAAAAAAAAAAAAAAAAAAAAAAA